GAGCTGAAGAAAAGAGGTAAAATGGTTTGTTCAAGAAGCATGTGGCACTGATGGAAAATGACCCCTGATATTATGAGTCCAGTCCCCATGCCTTGATCACTGCACTAATAATTTTCTCAAATCATTACTGAATTTGAAGGTTGTTTTCAGAGTCTGTCTTCCAGCAGTGCCCTAATCCTGCATACCTTCCCATATATACACATAGGAAATCTATGCTTGCACAGAGCTGCACTTTAGAATTACTGAGAGACATATTAGCTAGGATCTACTTCCAATAGATACAGTGATACTCAAGCATCTGTCCAGATTTCTTCTCCTTTTGGCTCTCGCAAAGAGTTAATTTGAGCCACCGCAAACTCAACAGATGTTTCAAAGATCTGTCTCTCTTTTTTTTCTCATTGTCTTTTTAGCTTAGAGTATGACAGCTTTAGGATGGAGTTTAAGACCATTCATGGCTGTGCACACAGCACCTCAAGGCAACCTCTATTTGTTCATATCTAGAGAAGAAGAAGAAAAAAAGCTCCTTTTTCCAAAAATGCTTCCCACTTCCTCTTCCCTGCCTGTGCCTCTAACCACTGCTGTATATGCAGTTAATTGAAATAGCGTTTGTTTTATCTTGAATAGCCTTGTAATTGATTGAGGTGGTGAACAGCAAGACTCTAGAGTCATTTACATACCTGTGCTTAGAGCAGTAATTTCTAGGAGGCTTTCCACTGTTCCCCCCCAAAGAACTATACTCCCCTGTATGTGCATGTTTGCATATATCTATAGCTCTTGCTATAGATATTCACATTCATATAGATCTCCCCACAGTCCATTCACTCTGGCTGCAACTGTCCATTTGCTGCTTGTTGAGATCTTAGGTTACCTGGGGTGGTAAGACTTCTGGCACTCTTCCCTCCAAAAGAAAAACAGCCTGATTGGGGACTGCTTGCTTCTTACAAGGCCTCGATTGTGTGCGAGTGCCGAAAAAGTAACAAATGCAGTTTAATTACATTGGATGCTTGGTGGCTGGTTTGCAAATCTTTTATTTGTTTTGAGAAGTGCCCCAGCAGCAGCACTAAATTTTGTGTGCATTTGGGGAGCCTAATATACCACTTATGCTGGGGGAGAGAAGACGGTCTAATTAACTGGGCTGCTGTCAAGCTAATAAACTAATGGAGAGCTTAAACAAATACAAAAATAAAGGAAGTAGACATGATGGGGGAAAAATAAAGTGACTAGACATGAAGTCTTACGACATGCATTTCCACCTTCCATGAAAAGGTATCCTTGGGCATCCAGAATTTTGCGGATGCAGTTTTATGCATCGTAATTCAAGGCCCCTTTTAGGAGGTTAAGGTTTAGCAGATCTATCCAGGAATGAGTAACAAGAAGGGAGCTTTTCCCATCCTGCCCAGAAACCAATTCCAGCTCATCAGAGTTGTTCATTTTGGAAAAGAGTCAGATTCAAATTCATGGGACAGAGGGGAGTGGAAAGCAATCGATGTTTAAATCTTCTCTTTGCCAGGCCGAGATGTTGCATAAGGCTGAGGAAAATGTTTTATTATCCTAACTAAGCCTGAAGTGTCAGATACTGACAGCATTTCAGAGACAGGATACTGGGCTTGATGGTCCAATAGTCTGACTCAGACTGACAGATTTTCTATTTCGCCCTCTCAGATTATTAGTTCTTTTTTGTGCCATTAGGTATGAGGCGATTTTAAACTAAAAAGGTTAAAGCAGCACACACATTACTGTGGGCCTGGGCTGAAAGTAACCTCCCAGTTTGGCCATTATCAAACACCGGACAAATTTAGATCTTTTCTCATTTGATTTCTCAAAACGTCCAGCCATTATAATCCCATCAGCTGAGATGGTACACTGCTGCTGTCTGTAGCGTACCGACTGTCAGGCTGATATGGCTCATATTGTTCCTGGAGGGGTCTGGAGGGTGATTTTTCTGATATGGTCCCCGTGAGCAGCCAGGGCATGGACAGCTCATCCTGTCCTATGGCTGGGTTTACAAAAGGAGAAGGCGGCTCCAGTTTTCTTCTTCAGAGTTCCCTAAAGATTTCCCACTACATGAATCTAAGAGAGCATTTCTGTCCACAGAATTCGGACATGAGGTAAGCGTTGACTCAAATACAGGTTCGGACCCATGGTCAGAATGAAAGGTAGACACAGGCAAAGAGGCCTGTTTGCGAATAGAGTTGCCGAGCAAACTGATGAAATCTTTTTTTAATAATTGCTTTAAAATGAAAATCTTTAAAAATAGAAGAATGGCTCTCTTTTTCTGTCTCCGTTTCTCACATTTGTCAAAGCTAGGCCCTTAAATTTTTCCTTTGTACATGTCTTTCTCTTGCTTCTCTCACACACAGGCACAGCCATCTCTGTCTCTTCCAGGCCGTTCTTTGCACATATTTCAGATGCCATAGTGTTCTTATATGAGACTTTATGGTATCGTCTGCCCATGTTTCAGTTAATTTTTTAGCTCTTTCATTCACCTAAATGAAGAGTGGGTGTTCCAGCCACCTTTTTCAAGGCTTAGCACAACTCTGCAGTTCTCATAAGAACAGCAGGGGCTTTCACATGTTTCTGAACAGTTAATTTTCTGACCTAGTGCATAACCACATACCTGGTGCGCATTGTTCTTCTTCAGGAAAATATTTACAAATCACTATCTGTGTTATTTGGCCACCATTGCTAGTCAGAGGGATCCATACTATATAAGTTGAGGGAAATACTGCCAGACCATAGCTTGAAACACATCCTTTCAAACCCTGAAGAAAAGAAGGTTTTCATTTGGAGGTCTACAGAAAATGATGGGTCTCAGCCAGCATGGGTTGTATCTGACTGGGACCACATGAAGCTGTGTGATGCCTCGGTTCTGGAGCAGAGCCACCCTCAAATTGGAGCAGGCAGCCTGACTTCTAGATCTGCTTTCAGAAGCGTTTGAACTCTCCGCTGTTTTCCCTTTCATTGGGTTCAGGAAGAAATATCAGCCTAGATGATACCGAGATTTCTTGACTGGATTTTACGGCAGTCCATGAGTATGACAGCAAGTCAAAGAAGCAGAAAAATTTCATGATCGGAGAACAAAAAAATAATACCACATTTAAAGTGCTTATTTTCCTTTTTTGGAGATTTCTGCATTGACTAGTAGTTTCCTTTACACTTGGAAAGTTTTGAAAGAGAATGAGGTTGTTGGTTACATTCTTGCAGCCCTCCTCATACATTCTCCTCTGCGCTGCAGACAGATGTTGTAGCATGTTACGGTCAAGGCTACAGTCTGCCCTAATTTACATACTCTGCAATCTTCCTGCATCCAAGGATTTCCTTCAGCAGAACGTGGTGGCCTGTGTTCTCATGAAGTCTCGAGTGGGAGGCAGCAGTCATGGAGAGCTGCTCAAAAGATTTTGAAGGAAATATTTTCCTGTCAGAAAATAAAATCAACATCTTCCAGAGAAAAGATTGATGTTGGTGCATTTATTATCATTCCTAAGGTACATCAGGCTGTGTTTTTAGTGATAAACTAGAATTAATTGTTTTGACTCAGGAAACAGATATTGGTTGCCTTAGCTAATGCTGGCTAGAAGATGCTAAGGTACTATGCAGGTGACAGGACAAAGATCTCATTAGAACAGAGGAGAAGCAAAACTTTCCATTTCCCCAGCAAAGGGGGCATCTGTCTTTTTTCCATCACCGCCCCCCCCTCCCCCAATGCCCATCTGCAATAAGGTAGCTTATACCAAAGCAGATGGGTTTTGGTCAGGATTTTTGAACACCACAGAGGTAGAGTAGCCATTAGGATTCCTGGGACATTTAGCAATGTGCAGACTGTATGATTTCCTCAAAAGGGACGATGAATATTCAGAGTAAATGTGACTCATGAGCTCTCTTTTGTACTCCAAACAATCACAAAAATATTTTTAAAACATATCCAGTGAAGTTAATTTACATTTCTCTGATTAAGAATACGTAAAGAGAATTTAAAATCTCTTTTTAATCAGGAGATTTCAGATTTGTTAGTAGGAATCATTGCTGGAACATTCTGATGGAAAGACTTGGGTCATTATGAATGCCCACAGGAAGAACTGTTTGTTATGAATATTATATTTCATTAACAAATCATTCCTAAGCCAGTTTCAGGCTCCAAATTGCTTGAAAACTCTTGATTCCAAATATTCATCGCTTGTGTAATCTGGTTAACCAGATAGGTCTCGACTCCAGATCAGATGAGGAGATACAGTTAAGCAGGAGAATAATGGACAATGAATAACAAATAGATTTTCATAATCTATTGATCTGACACACAACCATCATGCTGAAGTTAATTGCTTTCTTCAGTCCCTAGTCAGTAACTTAGTGCTTTTATCAGCATTTTCAGACCATCTGCGATATCTGACTAACTCTGTTTTAGTGTAATATGTCTGTGTGATGTAAATTGACTTCAGTCATAGCAACAAGTTCACAAGCTGTTTTTGGTAAGGGGTGCCCTACTCTGTTTCTCACCTTTTACTTTGATATAGTAATCCTAAGATTTATTCCTCAGGAGTTATTCTACTTCATCTTTTTGTTATCTGAACCTTTTTTTTTCTGGGTAACCGTTAAGTGAAGGAAAAAGGAGAAACTGGGAAATGCCTGCTTTGAAGGGCAGCTTTTAAGTTGAAGTGAAGAGCATAGTCGGTCTGAGTTTTGATTCTGTATATGTTTGTCTGAGGAAATAGTCAAAGCAACAGATTACAAGCAGTTTAGTAAGTTAGAATTAAAAAAGTAAACTCCAGTACAACTAGCAAAACTGAGTTTTCTGCCACAGCAATACTTCCCAGGCATATCCTCCCAGTGTTTTCGCCTTTTACAAGAAAAATAATATTTTGAAGTGTGTATCTTAGCTTTCTTGAAATCAGTGGGCATAGTCCACTTTGAGGCACTCTCAAATGCTACATTATCTACATGATAGATTCATGGTAGAGGGCAAAAAGTTGTTAAAAAAACATTCAGATCTTTAGAGGTTTTCTTCTTCTTCTTCGTCTTCTTTTTTTTTTTTCTTTTAAACATATAATAAATGAATTGCACACAGATCTGGGATGGAGTTTCCAGTCTGAAAATAAAGATCAGCATTTGGTATTGCAGTTAGCCACAGATAAAATTCAAATTTGTAACACTTCATTTAGCAGAGTATTAACCCCTTGGGAAGTGAAAGGGAAACCTTCAGTGAACAAAACTCCTCAGTGTAGAGCAGGTAAAAATACATCTACACCAGTTTTGCCCCTACATGTTACAATGGTGTGAAGGTGACCAGCCCAGCTCCTATACATTTGTTTAACTTGCTCGGAATTAATCAGAGCACTCTGGGATTAATAATTACTTAATCAAATAATCGCTTCGTGACTCCAACACTATCTTTCTTTTTCTTCCAGCAGGCTGGAAATAAGACCCGTGAATATGTAAATTGGAACTGATTAGGGGATTAGGTTTCACTCTTTTTTTTTTTTATTATTTGGAATAAAAACAGCCTGCAGATCCCTCTAAGCCAAGCTATGTCTCTGAATTACACCACCAGCGCCTGTCGGCTGTGATAATTTCACTTCATTAAGTTCCAGATATAAATAGAGAAAGTTTTTTTTTTTTTTTCCATGCACCACCTTTAATAAGCATGGACTGAAAACACAGGGGTTATTGATCCACTCAGCTATTGGGTCTTTGCGAGTCTACCCTTAACAGTGAAAGAAGACCAAACACCTTCTACCTGTTCACTCGTGCAGCCAGGGACAATTCATCTCTGTTGAATCCATTTTAAAGCTTTGCAGAAACTGCCAAAAAAGCATCGCGAGAATGAAAGTGTCAGCTGCACCATCCATAGCAATGCAAAACAAACACGTGTGATAGGTCCATGACAGTGAAAAATGTCAGCAGGACTCAGGCCAAGATTTTAAGCTTAGCTGTGTAATGTTAAGCACCTCCGTGTGTTGGCCCCCAAATAACTCGCCTGACTTAGTGCTAAGCAACCATAGTGTCCACCAATCTACAGGGAAGGCATGTGCTAAGGCACCTCTGAAACTCTCCCTGCTAAAACCAAGTTGTTTATGTTCTCCCCTACACAAGCAGTTTACTTTCTCTTACACCATCTTTCTTATGTGCAAGTAGACCTTAATGTCGAAAAGTCCTGTCCACAGGCCAGTATGTGGCCCACAGTTGGGTTTTTAATCATGGCATCCTATTGTATCTACTGAGTATAGAGATCTATATTGTAGAGTATTATACATGCTGTTCTGCATCCCCAGCTGTGGGATCCCTGCTGTAGTGTAGGAAACTCACAGCCTCATTGGGAAAGCGAGCCATTCCTTTACTTCCTGTCTTACAGGTTGATAGCAAGACAGAACAAGGCTAAAAGTACTTTACTCAAGCTCAGAAAAGAATTCTGTGGCGAAACAGAACCATAATTTCCCCAGAATTACGGGATTATGTTCTTTTTTTTTCCTGTCTTTGGGAATGAAGGCCCAGAAGAAAAGGAAGTTCAAAATTTTGCACTCAAACTAAAGCTACCTTTGCCCTAAACCAGAGAGAAGCTTGGAGGTGAGGGATCACTGATGCTACAAGTACCTACTAAGGAGAGGAGGTTCAAAGATTAGATGGTAAGTGAAAATGATTTTGGAGGATCTCGGCTTCATCCCAGTTAAATGGCACAAAATCTATGTGGAATTTGGGCATGGCTTCATGTCGGTAACAGCCTTTCGCTGCTCAGGAAAGGATCCAGAAGAGCAAAGGTGGCTGCTGGTCAGCAGTGAAAACTGCATTGGTAAATCTGGCTTTTGCAAAGTGGTGAATGTCAAATTCAAATAAAGCGAGCAGAGCAACCGAGGTGTGCAGGCAAAGCCTCTTAGGAAAAACTCCTGCACAGAGTCTACCTTCACCTCTCCTAGATCCAGCAGCTAGCTTGAGTGATCCCTTATTTTTTACAAGTACTACTTTTATACAAAAATGCTGGGGGCCAGCCAGACCCAGACAACAGCGAGAGCAGAAAGGACGGGAGGCTGCCAGAGGGGCTGACATACATACCCTGGGGGGGTGTTTAGTGCAGTCTCCGTGCTGCCGAAGCACCGTGGTTCGAGCAGAGCATCCCGTGTGCGGATTGGCCCTGGGGGCAGCTGCCGACGGTGCTTGGTTGCATCAGGCTGAGAGGCGGCGCTGGCTGTGGGTTGTGTGGTCGTCTGAGGCAGCAGGAGAGCTGTACATGTGGCCTCACTCCTCCAGGCATCGGAAGGAATTTCCCCGTGTGTCAGTGGATTTGCAGGTTCCAACTCACCTCTGTAAGGAAATAATAAAGAGCTACCTCCCCTCAAATTTCTGAAACTCGTTTTTTCTTCCCCCATTATAAATGAGCCTTTGAGACAATTTCTCAGTAAGCGCTGTCCTTTCCAAAAGCTGTCAATGAGGAATGTGGACTAGCTGTGCAAAGGGAGACGGAGAACACTAGAATGAGGTCTCGTAGTTTGTGCTAAATGAACTAAACAACGCTCTCGGCTGCATGTCTTTAGAACCAATAGCAAATAAAGGAATTAGTAGTGCTAATAAGGACCATTTTCATGCTAAACCTGGTAAGAACTAAGCCTGGGTCCAAGATGACATACTGAAATAACTAACCACCACCACTAATATTCTGGGATTTGATTGTGTTTACGTGGCCGGCTGCAAGTTGGGAACAATTGTGCCAAATGAGACCTGCAAGTTCACTCTGATCGTAGCCTGGAGATTAGCTAGCAACATTCACTGGGAATTCCACAGAGCCTAAAAATGCCTACAGCCATACCTGTGCGGACAATGACACGGGCTAGAGGGGCATCCTGTTGCCCTGTTTTTTTCAAATGTTACATGGTCTAAATACAGTCGCAAGCCTGGAGCTGTCTGCTGCAGATGTTGAGTTTGTTTCAGCTGTATATGCAAAAATGAGAACGCATGGTGTCTTCCTGCACGGGGACGGCCGAGGAGAGACAGTAAAGTTTTCTGAAGGAGCAATTGAGTGAAATACTTGGCTGGATGCTCATATTATGTAAATTCAAGCTGAAAGCTTTAAGTATTCTTTTTTAATAATGTCACACACGTGGGGCTTGTTAAGTGTTACTCACTACTATAGCAATTCTTAAGGCATTAGGAGGGCTTGCAGCTCTAGAGTAGAAACCTAGCCACTGGAGCTAATTCTTATAAGCACCTTGTGGATTGTGTACATTTTGCAGACATTTTCTGAAGAACTCTGATGGTGATTTCCTTCAAAAAAAATGAAAAAAAAAAAAGCATTGCTGTGAAACTGCAACGCTGCTTAGAGAAACCTTGATGTTTTTAACAGTATTCCCAGGTACTCTAAAGCTAGGTGTGCTTGAAATCGAAATCTAGGAATTAGAGAACACAAACTTCATTTATTCAAGAGCAACTGGAAAACGTGAGTGCGTTTCCATGGAGATGGGGTTATTTCCTTTCCCACAATTCAAATCTTTTCCACAGGTCTTGTTTCATTCTGGTCACCCTAATGTTTTGTTGAGGAGAATTTTTTGGATTTTGATCTCAAGAGTTGGCCAAGCTCCAGGTAGAACAATGAAAAAGTCGTAAATCACTTTAATAGATATAACAAGAAAAAAAAAAAAGAGGGCAGAGAAATGGAGAGACTGAAATATGGCAGTCCCAGCACATCCGTCAAACACAGAATACTCTTCTTGAGGTACAGGAGAACACACCGATTAGAAAGAGTTTAGAATGAGCTGTTATGGTGTTATAAGTGGCTCTGATGCCTGAGATGCCATTCACATTTATATGTAAAAAACATATTTTGAGAGCCAGAAGGAGCCGCTGAGGCTTAGGACATTAATCACAAGGCCCATTTTTGCTTCTTGGTGTGATACAAGTTGTGAGGCAACTCATTAAATTTTGCTTGGAGATATCTGAGCTGTATCTAACTGATGTCTCTTCCTTTGAGGATACAAGATGGTTTTACATTTCCAAAGGGTCCATTCCCTGCTTTGTACGAAGAGAATGCAAAATGAAGCACAGGCTATAAGAGCGCTGAATTTTCAATCCGCAGACCCTAAAAAGTTGCTAGTGAAGGTGGAGGCCGCCTAATGAATGTAAGCATGAGACTAAGCTTGTTTTCCTTAGTTATTTTGTGTAGAATCTGCAAGTGATGGTCCATGGACCACCCAGGAGTCTGTGGCTCGCAACAGGAAAACTGATGCTGTGGATGATGCAGATTCTGAGCTTTGCCTAAACTCCACCACAGGGTGATTCTAAATAAGCAAAATAACCAGTGACATAAATGAGTGCAGAATTTGCTCTGCAATCATTGACTAACATGTTCACCTGGCCCACCTTATGGAATCTTTATTTGCTGGTAAAATAAAGAGAACAATAGTATGACAAATAATATTTTTGTCTGCCAAATGTGTAGTGAAACACTAATTGTTTCTGGCCTATCTGTACTTTCTAATTTTGCTTCTTGTGGAAGGCATCCTCATATATCTCAAATCAATGTGAATAGCTATCAAAGGTCATCAGTGAAGCAGGACTGCAAAGGATTGATTTGATAAGATTACAAAGCTTAGATTTACCTCATCTCACTTGGGGTTCTGTGGATATGGGTTTCATCCCAGCTGCTCACCATCCCCAGCTGGTAGCATCCTCAGCTGCCTTCAACCATCAAAACTATGGACACCGAGACCTAAATAGTGCCAAGGAGAAGAGAGACTTTTCCTGAGTGTGACTCAGCCCTATCTGAGATATCATCTTTAGAAGGTGGTGACAAAAATGGAGAACTGTCATGTAGTTGAGAAAATGAAACCTAGGGGTAAAATAGCTTCCTGAGCTCTGTACATGTTGAAAATGTATATGAATTTGGTTTCATAAAGTCAAACATATAACAAAGCAATAGTGATCCTCCTTATATAATGCCCTTCACCTTAGTGAGTAGTCATGTTACATTACTGATAGGCTATGCAGTGTGGATTGTTCAGGCATGTCTTACTAAGTGGTGCACATTATTTATACATATTACACAAATCCTAAGTTTGTCTGGCCACTTTGGCCACTTGTAGCTTCTAGTTACACTAGTAGAGGTCTGTAGCAGGTGCTTAGAATGACAGTTTGGTTCTAAATATTACATTTATATCATGCCCATTTCAGCAAATCTAAAATGGGCTTGTAATAATTTTTAGTAATGTTAAGGGGGACCAAAAATTATAGAGTATATATGGAGAATATTTTAAGGCTTTTTTTTTTCACGTCTGCTCTAAAAGTACAGTATACACAACCTTTCTCCTCAAAAGCTGATAAATGGTTTAGCCATTATTTAAAGTTCGGGAAAAGGCAGCTACAGAAATAACATTTTAATGTATTCCAGATTAGACTTCATGCTATATTTGTAATAAAGATTTGTTTCCAACATTGGTTGGCAGATCACTCATATGGACAATTATCCAAATAGCTATTAGGATACGATTGCGCTCATTTCCAGGCAATGCAAGATTGCCAGAACTCAGCTTGGCTGACGGTTGGATTTTGGTTTGACTTTTGGAGAAAGCCACAAGAATTTGTCAGTCGTTTTGGCCGTAAGGGAGTCTTCTTGTCTTGAGGCTATCCTTTTTCCTCTTCAAATATAGAAGGCAAAACACGCTCTTGTTTAGTTTGGGTTCCTTTTTATTTTGCTCGTTATCTCTCCTCTTAATGGCAGCAGGAGGAAAAGACTGAGATGTGACTTGGTTAGGAGGTGACAGACGTCTCAGATCATTCATAGGGAAGAGGCAAGTCAGTTATGAGAAGACCACATGGATTCTGGAGGGTGAAAACCAAATAGAAAATCAAAGGTCACGAGTTTCTTGTATTGAGGGAAGGGAGCTTAAGGGAGGGCATACTTAATGCCAAGCTAAATCAGCGTTAGCTGGGAATGGAGACTCCCTCTCTTTCTGCATTATGCTAATGTGTCGTTTGGCAGGTCTGAATCACGCTGGCTAGTTTAGTCAAGAGCTTGAGTCGAAGAACACCAACTCCCTCTGAAGGAAAAAGATCCCTTTGTGCCAGGGAACATGTTCTGTGGTGAGATGACGGAATTGTTTAAGTCACAGATGCAGCGGTCAGGAAGCTTTTCCATACTGGAAGATAGGTGAGGTCCACAATGGTCCATGAAACTCCAAGCAACTCCAATAGTTACCTCTGCTAGAGCTTACAACAGAAACAGGTTCATTATCTATTGCCAGTCTAGCGTGGGTGCTGCTGAGACTAGTAGCCAGTGTTCTTAGCGGGGCGGTTTCCCTCTCTCCCAAGACTTAAAATAGCTCATTGCAAGACCTTAAATAAGGCACTTCAATGACTATATTCACTGCTCTCCCCTTTATAAAATGAAGATAATAATTCTGGAACCAGAATCATAGGCATTGCACTGTTCAAATGAGATTTATGAAAGATAACGTCCTCCTTGTGACAACAGGGGACTGGATAGAGGATCCAAAGCTCCTTTACTCTTTTGTATGTCTATAATCAGATAAAAGCCTTTGGATCAATATATCACATTAACTGCCAGCAGTTGCCAACATTTCTGAAAAATACCCTTCCAAACTCTTTGTTTCTCAAGATGAGGGGAAGGTCCAGGATTAAAACCTCCCTTTGCTAGCTTGCTTGTCATGAGTAACAACAGCTAATACCGTACTGTACTGTAGCTGAACAATGAAACACTACTTCAAACACAGAAGCTGATAAACAGAGTGGCAATAAGTCTAGTGCAAATGAAAACATTTAAAGGAGAAGAATACCACAGGCCTTTCATTATAAGACAATTTTAAGATCATCTCTGAGCTCACGGTTGGATCTCCCTGTAAAAGCTTTTCCATGGGGTGAATACTGCAATATTTAATGTACAGAAATCCTTTCTTGCTGGCTACGCTCCAAAACAATGACTGCACCAAAAGGGCTGAGGCATATCCTATCAATGGAGCAGAAAATTGCTTCAAGGCTAATAGCAGTAACACCTTGGTGAAGCAAACACTGTAATTAGCAATAAAGCAGCACCCATGCCCAATAGGCCTATTGTGTCCCGTCTATGATTTTACCCTTTGGTGCAAAGGGAAAACGTGTGTGTGAGCGAGTGAGTGCACAGAGGTAATCCCCATCCAGCATGTTCATGATGAATGTGCTGTAGTTGGCATAAAATGGAACATATGCCAAGATGAGGCCCTCTTGTTCCTTGCAATCCCCCACCTACATTCTCCCAAACACCACATTATATTTTTAGCATTTTTATTTTCTTGGAAAAATATATAAACTGCAGTTATAAAATGTGTTTAAACAAATGAAATGGAGCTAGCAGGTGTACAAAACGTCCTAAAATGCTTCCCATGGCTGCAGTTAAAAAAAAAAAAAAGTAAACTTAAACTGTTCCATAGTGGAAAAAAAAATCTGTGTAGAGTACATAAATGTCACTTTTCCATACTGCACAGTCCGTTTCTTTTTTGACTCCTAAAATCCACCTAGACTCATTCTTGTTTTGGATCTTCCTTTCTCATCTCGCTTAAAGGGGTTAATTCTCCTATCACCATCTAGGAAGAAATAATATACAAAGCAATACCACCATTTTAAATTCTGAAATCCCCAGCACAGCATATGGAAAGCTAATCTCCAAAGCTGTAGGTCTGTTCTGTTATTTACTGTTTTTATCATCTCCATATTTAACCTGGAGAGAACTTAGGTTCAGAGTTTGGAGATTATTTATACTCAGGATTTAATTTTTGGTAGAACATGATTGCATTTACAAACTTAGTCAAAATTGGAGGACTGCTGGCACTCCCATGTAAGTATATACATATATGCATATATATATGTGTGTGTGTGTGTGTGTGTGTGTAAAAGTATACATAAACACACACACAGATATACACACACACATATATATAAAGAAGATGTCAGCCTAAAATATTTATAATCAAAATACACCCCTCAATCAAGAGACAGAAGGTGATACAAAGAGAGAGTGGGGATTCTAAGTGGGGCTGGTAATAGACTTCTGCATTGTACTTTTGCTGCCTGGTTTTGGTGTACATCCTATAGTAAACGGGACTATTTTTAAGATTAAAAATCAGCATGCTTTTAGATCCTAATTTCTCCTTGCTCTCTGAGTGCTCAGAGAGGTTGATTCCTTGAATTTTGGATCAGGCCCCTCACTAATTCTTTGCAACAATTGCTGAGCAATATTAGCATAGGGAGGAAAGAGGTAGGCTTTCACTGCACAATGAAAAATGGTATTTTTACCTTGGCTCTTTTCTGTCTACCTTACTTTTTACTAAAATGTTTTTATGCCTGAAATAGTTTGCTCCCAGCTCAGAACATTTTTCAACTTATTTTTGTCTCATTTTTTGTTTGTTTGCTTTTCAAAGTGAGAGGTACTGGATGAACTGCTGTGGAAACTAGTCTTAGATGAGACTTGACAGATTCTCGTTACAGTGCAAGCCTCTCCGACGAGCAGTGATTTCGTGCTCCTCATCTCAGGCCCTGGGACAGGCTCCTCCACCTTTGGCATGAGCCGTCCCTGGCCATTGGGCTGAACCAAGCCCTGCAGTGCTGATGGGGAACTGGTGTTACGTGTGTGTGATGTGTCCTCTGTCCACTTGAAACCAGGATAATAGCAAGGTATTTTTCTGTCCTGGGGCTGGTTTTCTGTCCTTAATAAAGTTACTAAGAAGGACTGTATTACCTGAAGAAATGCATGGGGAATCCCCATGCCTGGCCCTTCAGGTAATAGATATTCAAAGCAGATTTCTTGATTCCAGCAGCTTATTTGCTCCTACTGGCATCTCTCTCATTTTGCTTTTGTCACAGTCTACTAAAATGCACAAGATTCTTCCACATTTGCCACCTGGAAGCCAAATTCTAGAAATAAAACACCGATGCATTTTTAAAAATCCCCTTTTGTCTTCAGCTAGGCAATGGGCTTCTGTAACAGTCCAATAGTCTAATTTCTTTCTGGCAATCAAGGAAAACAAAATACATTATTTTTAAATTAAACAAACCCTCATTTTTTTCCATGGGAAATTACTCAGAGTACAGTAAAATGTGTCACATTCACATTTCCAATCTTTCTGAAACAGTTTGGTTCTCTAAGTAAATTTTTTTTAATGTGTATGTTTCATGCAAGATCAATATTTATTAAAACACATTTTCCTGTCTCTGTTCACTTGTTTAAATCCAAGATATTCCATTTAACTCTGTTTCTACTCTGATAGAAATGTTATATCATTTATTTTTAGAGGAAAAAAGTTCATAATCATTACATGAATCATTAAATAAATATAGTTCCTAATTTCTATTGTTTTACGTAATTAAGACTTTTAAAATGATTGTCAAATTTCAGCTAAGCATCTCAAAATATAGTCTTAATTAATTTAGCCTTGAACAGTTTTCTGACATGTCTGGATCAGATCCTCAGTCCTGTTTACTTTATTTGACATTCACTGTTACTCTGGTATATTAATTTAAGTATGATTCTCCAGCCCCATTTAGTGTGCTGAAATGAGCATTAACATGCAATGTTGACAAATTAATATAGATAGATTATTCCCAGTGGTGTGTCCAATTTTCTTTTAATAGGTCATTTTCATCTGAATGGGTAATTCATTCTGCCACTGCTCTAAAAAGTTCAAGACCTGTTTTAAATTTCTTATCTCCGAGATGGCTGGC